CTCCTCTAGAGGTTTCTGAGGAGCAGGTAATCAGTAACACCTGATTAGGGCTTATCCTAAATCCATGTCTCAAACTGCCAGCGGTTTTGTCAACAGACTTGTAATCAAGCATGTAAATGTAAAGATTTCAATAGCAGTTCAGCTGCTATCAGTGGTAGAGACTTCAGGCTTTTATTGGCTGCTGTGGGTCTTATGAGTTTGAGGAAAACATGATTTGAAAACAGAATGTATTGGGGACTTATTTTAAAATCTCTTATACTTTATATATACTGTGTGAGAAATAATGAAGTCGGTTCCCTACAAAGGGTGGCAGGGAAGGAGGTGGAAGGATGAGGAGGAGGTGGCACTTCTCTGAGTACACCTCTGATGTGGTTTGACTTTTGCGGGGCTTTGAATCATATTAATGTTTTACATATTCAAAAGGCAAATCAACAAGGACAGGGACCACTTCAATTCTATAGGTAAAGAAATTTGATAATCCTCAGACAGTTTAAATAAATTGTATAGTCTCATACATCAGTAATTACATGGTCAAGATTTAAACCCAGATCTTATAATTCAAAATCCTATGCTCTAGCTCCCATGTAGCAATCTTGATTGGGGAGTAATCAATCATTGAGAATTTTGAAAAAGAGTCAGAAAATGTAAAATTAAACAACACTATCTCTTTGCTTTTCAGGTGAAATTGATCCAGTTGAGATACACTGAATATTCTCCAAGATGTCTGGTAGATCTTCCAGAATGATCCTGAGCAAAAGTTTCATCATCTTGTGTGGGTGAACCGATTAATTATCTCCCAGTTTAACAAAAAATATATTAGTTTCTCCAAACTAATGAGTGAGAAAATGATGCAATCTCAAAGCCTGTGGGACTCAAGATAGACTTTAGGGAATCAGGTCCCTTAGTCATGCTAGCTCTGTTTAAACCTTTGATACACACACTTTGGAGAGGCATTAGAGCCTACAGAAGGGACCAGAAGATCAATGGGCTCTGCTTTGGAAGTTTATTTACATAGATTATGACTGGCTCAAGTATACAAACATAGAAAAACCACAATTCTAAAGGGGCCAAGACCAAGCCAGAGTGTAGACACCTTTCTTTATAAGGTGACCCTTACAATCATCTATAAGTGATACAAGAAGAACAGAAAAGAATAAGCCTGCATTTGACTTGGACCAGAACATGCTATACAGGAAAGGTGTAAGCCTATTCTTTTGTTACATACTTTGTGCACTCCTCTGCTCTCTCTCCCCACTTTTATGTGTTTCCTCCCTCTCTCTCTTCTCTGCTCTTACTGCATCTCTTTCTTACTCTTTTTTTTCACCATTTGTTCTAAGTGAGGTAGCACAAAATTTTCAGGTTTTCCTTATAGAAAATGAACAAAAATTATTTTTAACCTTAGCTTTAATCTGCTCAAAAATAGATATAATGTATCATTTTTCTAGTTCAGTCTGTTCAGTAGTAATTCTTCAACAGTTTGATGGCTGAGGATCCTTTAAAGAATGCGAGAATACTATTGGGTATTTCCCCAGAGATGTGTGTTTGTTGTTTGTGTGTCACTCTTTATAAAATGTTGAATATAATGCCAAGGAATTAGGTAGAACTGACTCACAATCACTACATCATGCCTTCGACCTAAATTCTTATCCTGGGTCTATGAATTTGAAAAACTTCTCTCTTGACCTCTATTTCTTTAATATTTGAGAAAGAAAATGAGATAGGGTTTTTTTTGGCTTTTTTTATTTTTTTGCTTTCATGCAGGTTTAATCACTTAAGATTTGTTCTACATTAGTACCAATATATGATTTCTCTGTGTCCCTCTTTTATTTCATGATGACAAAAGTACATCTTCAGTTGAGGAACTGTGCCATGAGATTACACATTGGAACATTAATTTGGGCCTCTGACTGCTAAATATTTATTCTCATAAAGCATAATTATTCTCCTTGTTATTCCTAGCATAATTATTCTCATAAAGTTTGGTACTCACTGAAAAGAATAGAGTCACCATCCTAACACACTTAAATTTTTCTTGTCCCTGGAGGGTCATTTAAATAACTAGCATTGTGTCATTTTCTGGAATTAATTCAATATCATCATACATGAAATAAACACTCACTGCATAGTCTTCTCTATCTATATCAAGTTGAGCATTTTTGACTCATCCTATGAAATTTCATTCAAAAAACTATGAAGTTTGTTTTTCTCCAGCATGCAGGGATAGTTCAAATCTGGAGTAAGGCTCAAAAATCTCAGAAAAAAAAATTCTAAAATAAAACAAGTGTAGCTTCCTTACTCCAAGACCTTACCAGATTTCTATTTTTATTTGGCTCCAGAAATTTTACTCTTTGATAATCTTGGGAAAATTACTTGACCTTCTATGGCTCAGTTTATTCTTCTTAAAATTGAAAATAATAATAGTATCCCCTGCCGATGGTTTTTAAGAGAATTAAACTAATTTATATAAAAGATTTAGATGGTGTCTTTCTAGCTCACAGTGAATGCAAAATAAATATTAGCTGTCATTATTTATTTATTTAAATGTACTTAACTGCATCTCAGCCACAGAATAACATGAGCACTGGTAAGAGGAAGTAATGAAGGGGGCGTTCAGATTTCCTCACACTTCTCAAGTGCTCTCAGATCTTCTCTCATGTTCTGTCTTCAGTACTCTTCTTCTTCTTCTTACACCCAAGAAGTAATCTGATTTAATTCCATGTGTTTAGGTACTTGTCTAGCCCTAAGTCCTCTGTTTAGTTTCAGAGTCATGTATCTAACTGCCTTTTGGATATCACCAATCAGGTGGTCTATAGACTTCTCAAAATCAGTGGGGACAAAAGTAATCTCATTATTTATCTTAAAAAATAGATATTAATTCTATAATTCACTTGATTCCATATATTATTTAACAGCACTACTACCCACCTAGATTTTCTATTATTTACTAAGACAGCAATTCTACTTTATAAGTATATGTGAATTTCTCATTTCTTCTTCTTTTGCCTGGAGGATTGCTTTATATTCTTAGCCTGTCTCCCCAGCTGTAGAATATTCACCCTGCAAAACATACAGGATACTACTGTCTAGGTCATCTATCTCAAATACAAAGCTTACCATTTTGCATCCCTAAAGCCAACAATTTTGTTTCTTCACATAGGGCCTGTCACAGTATAGACTTTGGACACTTTCCTCTTTTCTGAAGACATCCCTCAAAACTTCAACAGGAAGTATTATTTTATCTTATTTATTTAATTATTTGAATTTTATTATTCCTTCAGTCTTTGTGTTTCTTTAAAGAAGAGTCTGTGAATGATTAATTTTGGTGTCTCAGCATCTCATGTGGTTTATGACCATAGACTATGATAAACATATATTTATTGAATAAAGAGAATAATTCAACATATAGGTATGCATTTTTTTTCTATTTAATGTCTAAACTTTTTAAAATGTTGCTTCATTTGATGTTATAATTCCTCGACTCTAATTTAGTAGTCTCTTTCCTTTTCATGAACTCTTCAACCTATAGAATCAATAGAATGTATTCTACTTATCCAAAATTTCAAGAGGAAAATAAATCAAAATGCATCATCAAAAAAGGCATGGTCTAAATGATCTCTCATGGTCTATTTTATCATAAAAATTTAAGATTATTATTACTCACTGATGCAAGGAAGAGGAAAAACCACAAGGGTATAGGTGATGATGGATTTAACCAAAGTCATAATCTGATTTCCTGATTTAATACATGTATTGGGCTCAATTTTGCACTTGAGGTTTGTTTACCCTTTATATGTGAGAAAAACAGTTTAGGCTGTTAAGTCCAACTGAGATCGTGTAGTACATTCATGAGCAGAAAATGTTGTAATATAGGTAGGTCATAGAATTTGTTCTTTCTTAATCCCTTTTGAACAGAAAAACTCTCCAGAATATTATGAAATATTCTGTCTTTTAAGTGACTTAATTTATCCACAGTATCTGAAAAACATTTTTGTGGGTACATTTGCACATTGCTAAATAAAATCCCACTCCCAAATTTAGCTGAATTGAAATGATCATCGAAGATTATCTGGTTCTCTTCCCTATCAAATCAGATAAAATATGCATAATATCCCTATTTTTTTTAGTAAAGAAGGATTTATTACCTTTACAAACACATTTCTACCAATTTCTTTGAAGGAAAAATATTAATGCCTCAGTGTGGGCAAGGACTTAAAGGTAGACATTGAGAGAGCTCATGAAGACACCATGCTGAAAAAACTATGGTCCATATTGGATGATGGAGTGAAAATCTGCAAAGATGTTTTGATGGACTTGGGTGATGGATGAATACCAAAACGTTGAAACTGGGCAGTCATAAATGATATATGTAAGGACCTATTTTTTGTAGAAACAAAATTTTTTTAAAAAAGAGAGAGATGGAGAGTTTCTAATACCTAATAGAAGAAACCAGTGTGAAAGCTTCCTTATAGTTTTACAAAAGAAAAATTTCACTTTAATATGACAGTGTTATCTTTTAGTGACTTCTTTGAAATCTTGCATGATGTTAGAATGCATCAACAAAAACAAAGTAAAGGATGCAATGATTACATTCCTTTTTGTATAGCTACCTGGAGTCCTGAACAGTACATAAGAGGACAGGGTTAATACAAGAATTATTAGGAAGAAATTCAAAACCATCTTGACAAGGATGTGTATAAAGAAATCCAAATTAAAAAATAAATGATTAAGCTGACTTATCTTTGAGGTATTTCCACATAAAAAATACATTAATTTTTTTCTTCTCTGCATTTTCATAGCTCTTTTTTCTGTATTTTTCCAATTATGTTATTATAGATTTAAAATCCTTGGATTCTAATCTGGGATCTGCCAGAAGCTTTATATGAGAATTTGAACATGTTATTTAAATTCCATGAATCATGATTTATTCATCAACGATGAAGTGAAAATATTAACACATATCTTATACAATTATATTAACATTAACTAGAAAATAGTTGTGGAAATTCTATGTAACCTACTAATGTGCCCATCTTTTTCTTCATGCTTTCTCTATTTTTCTTTCCTTTTTTTGCCTTTCCCTGCCTATTTGAGTCCTCAACTCTTTCACTCTCTTTGTCATTTGCTCTTCTCTGTCTAACAATAGTAAAATAAAACCTGCTCATTTGCCGGTCAAGTTGCCAGGATTCAGTCCTCAGCCAAGGAGACCACAATTCCTTCTGACAATGTTTGCTGTTTCTACAGTGTGAATCACAATAAATATTATCTTTTCATTAGCAGGATCTCTGATTGCTTTTTTCCTGGTGAATCTACTGGTAGAAAGCAGTGAAATTTGGTCCCTTGGATGATCAACTTACTGTCATTTCCCCCCTTTTTCAGGATAGCATATAACATCTATGGAGATACAGAATCACACTTTGGTCACAGAGTTCATCCTGCTGGGCATCCCCCACACAGAGGGGCAGGAAACTGTGCTCTTTGCTGTGTTCTTGATCTTCTACCTCTGCACTCTGCTGGGAAATCTGCTCATCCTCCTAGCTGTGATGTTTGATTCCCACCTCCACACGCCTATGTATTTCTTCCTTTGTAATCTCTCCGTGCTGGACATTGGTTTCTCTTCTGTGAGCACTCCAAAGATGCTGGCCAACTTGCTGGTGAGAAGCCGAGTCATCTCCCTGGGTGGCTGCATGTGCCAGGTCTTTTTCTACCACTTCCTGGGCAGCACTGAGTGCCTGCTGTATACAGTAATGGCCTACGACCGGTTTGCTGCCATCTGCTACCCACTGCGCTACACCATCATCATGAATCGCCGGGTGTGTGCCCTGCTGGCTGCTGGTACCTGGTTCACTAGCTCCTTTCATGCTACAATTCTCACCACATTGACCTTCCAACTGCCATATTGTGGCTCTAATGAGGTGGACTATTTCTTTTGTGACATTTTCCCTGTAGTCAAACTGGCATGTGGTAACACCCTTATCATAGAGACCGTGAGCTTCACCAACATTGGCCTCATGCCCATGACCTGCTTCCTCCTCATCCTTGCCTCGTACGTCCGCATAGTCATTGCAATCCTGAAGATGCGCTCTGCCGAGGGGAGGCGCAAAGCAGCGTCGACCTGCGTTTCCCACCTCTCAGTGGTCACGCTGTTCTTTGGGCCCTGTGCCCTCATCTATACCCAGCCATCTTTGAGTGAAGTGCTAGTAACCCCAGTGCAGATCTTTGGCAATGTAGTCACCCCCATGCTGAACCCCACAATCTACACCCTGAGAAACAAAGATGTAAAGGGAGCCCTGAAGAAACTGGCTGGGGCTCAGATTGTTTCAGAAGGAGGTCACTAGTCCACTCGTGGGTGAAGCTACCTTTTTCCCTCCTCATCTGTGTATTAAACTAACTTTTAAAAAATCTATCCATGTAAATTATAAGGGTCTTTCAACCATAAAAGAGCTTGGAAATCGTTCTAATGGATACAAACCGTTGATATCTTTCTCATCTCCTGGACCAGATATTTGAAGGTTCAGATAGTAAATATTTTAGGCGCTGTTGGTCATATAAGAATGTTACAAATACTCAACTCTGCTGTTGTAGGATGAAAATAGCCATAGAAAACCTATAAGCAAATGGTGAGGCCATGTTCTAATAAAACCTTATTTACAAAAACAGGTGGTGGGTAGGCTTTTCCCCACAGGCCATAATTTGCTGAGCCCTGTCATAAAGCCTAGCTGGAATTGAAAATACTCTTTTCACTGCTATGTTAATAATGGCTTAATAGTGGACTCTGACGTGGGCTGGGTAACATGAGTTGAATTGCTGATCAGGAACAGGCAGTAAAGTCAAGGACAGTGAGTGTGCCCTGTGGAGAACTCCACTGTACCCCAAGTACACACAGTGAGAACTGCCCCTTGCTGCAGGCCCATCTGCCTGGGATCCATGCTAATGACTAGAAATTCACTCGTTCCTCTAGTCCTGTAACCAAGATGGCTCGTGGCCAATTTTCTTAGGTATGAAGGTAAATGACCACTACTCTTGCTCATAAGTACAAACTCTTTTACTTCAGATGTTACAGAACTCAGCATCACCACCTCAGCGGTCACTCAGCTTTCCTCTCCCAATATCAGTCACTCCGTTAGTATTCCATCCATGAACCACCATAAGGGCTGGGGTAGGAACCTCGGAATATTCTACTGAGAAGTACTACCAAACTCTGTCAAAAGATAAGATTATTGTGTTTCAAGTTAGGGGTCCCTATTCAGAGTGAATCTCTTCCTGCTGCCTTTAGTCTGACAGCTCTGTGATAAAAGCCATAATGCGTCATAGGCACATATATGCATATGAGTTATTATGGGTAATTTGGTGGCAAGGTCAGGCCATATTAAAGGGCTGAGAGGACAACAGAATAATGCCAGAAGACATGAAGTGTTATACCCCTTATCTCACAGAGAAGCAAGCTCTGTTGGCGGTGATAGCTCTCTAGCAAGGACCACACACCCAGCATCACTATGCTGGGGTCTTGCCTAGTTCTTATATAACTAACTGGACTCACTGGGTTATTAGGGTGGTACTGGCAACTAGAGTTGGCCTTGCTCCAACAGGATGGATAGATAGATAGACACATAGATAGATATCAATAGATAACTTGATAGATGGATATAGATAGAAGAATAGCTATAGATATATAGCCTTTTATTCTAGCTGTATTGGACTATCTTCTCTCCCATTTACCCATAAAAGCAGACCCAACACAACTTTACAATGCCAAATCCCCCAGGATTTTTCAAAGGACTCAGTAGATTAGAGCTCCTCTTTCTTCCATTTCTAATTCTAATTCCATTATGTGTGTCATATAAAAGAGGAACCATTTCCAGATTATAAACATCTGGAATCTCAAGGGGCAAGGTTCTTGAGTTTTTTCGCAGAACAGAAGTCCAAAGTCAGGAAACTTGTCCTGTTTATGGCTGTATAGGTTCTTAATTAATATTTGTTGAATAACGTTTTGACATAATTCTGGAAAAATCATGTGGAGAACAATTCCTATTCCAGGGAAGTCAACTTTGCCAACTGACAAAACTGTTTGTTGAGGAGTCTGGTAATAGAAACTATTTCTAAATTAAAATTTTATTAACAGAAAATATAGTCTGAAAAGTAGAAGAATTTAGTCCACTAGGACTGTCATAACAAAACACCAGGCTAGGTGGCATAAACACAAGAATTTATTTTCTCACAATTCCAGGAGAGTTTGCAGCAGGGTTCCATGTTTGGAGCTTGCAGGGGGTTGCCTTATCTCTGTGTCCTCACATGGTGGGAAAAGAAGGAGGGGGAAAGGGAGGAGGAGAGAGAATGGGAGTGACAGAGTGACAGAGAGCCAGAGCGAGAGACAGAGAGAGAGAGAGAGAGAGAGAGAAACAAAGAGAGAGAGAGAGAGAAACAAAGAGAGAGAGAGAGAGAGAGAGAAATCTTATGTCTCTTCTTGTTTAATAAGGAGACCAGAGCCCCATCATTATGGCCTCATTTAACCTTAATCACTTCCCTAAAGGCTCTAGGTCCAATACAGCCACATGGATGAATGTGTTAGGGTTTCAACATATGAATTTTTGGGGGACACAATTCATTCCATAGCAAGACCTATGGAAAAACTGAGATTAAAGCATTTGAAATTTGATATTTTTAGAAGTCTGATTTATAAGGCTGTTATTTCTCATTCCAGTGATATATCCTGAAACTGAGTAAATGGTTTCTACATATGTCCTAGGATGGAGCTACATCCTTCACTTTTTTCCCCCTCACATCCCTAGGCCCATCTGAAAAAAAAGTATAGGTTTGGCTCCATCTTCTTCACATCACAGTAATGCCACAAGGGAAAACATTACCAATCCTATCTCAACTAGATCATTCACTCACTTCTAATTACTCCCTCTGCTCAACAACCTCCTCGAATAGGACTCATTCGGGAACTCAGTCCCAAGGCCTCCAAGGACATTTAAATTTCCACATAGAAGAAAACAATATAGCTATTAGTGTCTTGGAAGATAAGTTTACCTGGCTAAGAACAAAGAGGTTTCAGATCATGGGAGGAGGCCCTGACCCTGGCTTATGGTGGGATGTCAAAGGCAAATTTGGGCTAAAGATCCTATAGAGACAGATGGTAAAGGATCAGACTTCCTCCTTGTAAGTCACATAAGTGCCATCTTCATCTCTTTTTTTCTACTGCTCTTTTATCTAGTGGGGAGGAGAATTTGGAGTCCCTGGTATACAAATCTCAGATTTCAGGAAGAACAGGAGCATGGGGCTATTGGGCACAAGAATAGGATGTCTGTCTTTTAGCCCATCATGTTTGGTCCATCAGTTCGGCCATTCTTATTACTTTTCTTTATTACTAGGAATTTGGACTTGATTTTATATGACTAAAAAACTGGAAACTCTAAATAAGCCTCCACTCAGATATCTTCAGTTTGATTCTTTCTGTGATATGTGACAGCCAGGCCTTTCTTAGAAATAGTTTAGATTATGTGTAGCTATTATCTTGAATCTGGCATCTTTTAGAGCACGGTGTAGAGCTTCTTCCAGTGCACAAGTGCTATAAAGGTAAACAGAGATTCTAAAATGTTTAGCAAATGGGGCAAAAGAGGAACAGGTATATGATTAAGTTGCTTTACAAGGTTGTTTAGGGAGATTACTATCTGATAGTATCACTTAGGTCCTTACATAGGACAAATGAATGGTATTTAATTCTTGCCAATCACTGAGTTCTTTAATTTTTTCATTCATCAAACATTTTCCAGGAACCTACTCTGTACTAGGCACTGTTCTTTGCAGCAAGAATATAGTTATAAACACCAGAAAGTATTTACTCTCCTAGATGGTGGGTGTGTGTGTGTGTGTGTGTGTGTGTGTGTGTGTGTGTGCATGTGTAGGGGGCATGGGTAGCTGGGGAGACATGTTGGCTTCCCATTGTTTACTAAGGAGGAGCAGGAACATTTTCGGAGCCTAGTGATGTCAAAAGGAAAAATATAGATATGGTAAGGTTTGACAAAGTCAGTAAAGCCATGGTCCATCAAAGACACAGTACAGCATTTATGATTCAATTTTTAGAAAACATATAAATAAAATATAATGCTGCCATTAATAGTGGCTAAAAATATAATGAATCTCAAGTTGTAGTTCATATCTCCAGAGATACAATAAAGCACTTAGAGGAGGAGCATATGTTTGGGGGGGGGGCTTGTCCTTCTCCTCAAAAATCTTTAACATGCTAAAGTATTTTTTAATAAAGGACTTTTGTATTTGGAATGAGTACAATAATAACATTTGCTACAGAATCTATTAAGTTGTCTATGGCACTTACATTACAATTATAACGCCCTGTAATTTGGATCACAGTCTTTCTAAAGCTTAGAATCAAAACAGTCATTTAAATTAAAAATTTACTTCGCCACTATGATCACTCCACTGACAGCAAGCCAGGGCATCCTTCCATGCCCTCTGCTTCCTCTTCCTCCTCCAGGACTGACTCTCATGGAGATGAAGAACAGCTCAGTGGTGACTGAGTTTATCCTATTAGGAATCCCACACACAGAGGGGCTGGAGGTGATACTTTTTGTTTTATTCCTGCCCTTCTATGCCTTCACCCTACTGGGGAATTTGTCTATCCTCGTGGCTGTTGTTTCTTCCACTCGCCTTCACACACCCATGTATTTCTTCCTGGGGAACTTGTCTGTGTTTGACATGGGTTTCTCCTCAGTGACTTGTCCCAAAATGCTGCTCTACCTTATGGGACTGAGCCGACTCATCTCCTACCAAGACTGTGTCTCCCAGCTCTTCTTCTTCCATTTCCTTGGGAGCATTGAATGCTTCTTGTACACCGTGATGGCATACGACCGCTTCACTGCCATCTGTTACCCTCTGCGGTACACAATCATCATGAACCCTAGAATCTGCGGGGCCCTGGCGGCAGGCACCTGGCTGTTAGGGTGCATCCATTCCAGTGTCTTGACTTTCCTCACATTCACCTTGCCGTACTGTGGTCCCAACGAAGTGGATCACTTCTTCTGTGATATCCCAGCACTCTTGCCCCTGGCCTGTGCTGACACATCCTTAGTCCAGAGGGTGAGCTTCATCAATGTGGGCCTGGTATCTCTTGTCTGCTTTCTCCTCATCCTTGTGTCCTACACTCGAATCACGGTCTCCATCTTGAGTATCCGTACAACGGAGGGCCGTCGCCGTGCCTTCTCCACCTGCAGCGCCCACCTCATTGCCATCCTCTGTGCCTATGGGCCCATCATCACTGTCTACCTGCAGCCCACACCCAACCCCATGCTGGGAACCGTGATCCAAATTCTGATGA